GCTGCGGTCACTTGGTCTCAGGCCGGGACCCCAGCAGTATAACAAAGGGAAATGATGGTGTGGCAGCCAGAGAGCAGGTAGGACACAGGCTGGATCCACTGAGTGGCAGCCGGAGACAGATGACGACCTGATCAGAATTGTAGGAGGACATGGGAGACCTAGCTGCAGTACAGAAAATGACCCAGAGATGGAAGGCGTGGCTTTCAGAGTGGTTGAAGGAGGTGATCAGTCGTGAGACTTTATCACTAGCCTCGTTGGTCCATGGGAGACTCAGAAAGCACAGAACCCAAACAGAGGAGTGTGAACCAGTAGATAAAGGAGACTCGGGAAGTGGAGCCCGTGGGTACCAGGAGAGCCGGAGGAGAAAGCAGCAGATGGAGAACAGGCAGCAGTCAGGTAAATGTAAGAGACACATTTCCTGAGCTCAAAACCAAGACTTGAGTCCGTAATTCAAATGACTTAGGTTCCTGGGAAGATTTATGGAAAGATACCTCTGCATGTATTGGGAAAGTTCTCAAACTCACAGGAAAGAGAAGCAAAATCTTGGAAGCTTCCGGACAGTGAGAGAAAATTACCTACGATGAAGAAATATCAGACTAGCCACAGATTCCTCATCCATGTGCAGGGTAGTGGAGTGACTTCTGTAGACCAAGGTGAAGAAGACCCAGCCTGAGGACCTCGCAGCCAGGGGGCCGTTTCAAGGTCAGGATGAAGGAAGTTCGTTATTATGTTAGGATTCAGGGGTGGCATCGCCCACTCATTCTCCAGTGAAAATACTCCAGGGAAGATCACCAAACATAACGCTGAGCAGAAGGACAGACCTCCAGATGAGGGAGGATAATGAAGGAAAACCTTCCAGATGCAGTCAGTTCAAGTGAGGAGGAGGAGGAAGATCACATACAGCAGTCCTGACATCAAATGCCAATGAACTGTTTTTTCCCATTAAAAATTGGGTACTGTTAGACTGAGTTAAAAAGCAAGACCCTGAAGCTGTTTATAGGAAACGCCTGAAATAAGGCAATAGAAGATGGACGTAAGGCAAATGCCGAGAATCAGTAGAACGAGCAATATTAGGTTTAGGCAAGGTGGAGTCTCAGTTAAGGCATAAATAGGACAAGGAAAGACGTTATTTAATGATGAAAAGAAAAGAAAGAGTTTATAAAGAAGATGAAGCTCATCTGTAAAACACCAGTCCAAAGTCAGTAGAGCAACACTCTTGGAAATGTGAATACCGTTATGCTGAGACCCCCTGATAAACCCCTTCCACTCCCTCCCCTGTCGTAGCCAAGTGTAAGCCGTAAGTCAGAAAAACTGAATGAATAAATAAGTTATATTTAGTAGATATGTGGGAATCTCGTATTTCTTGAAAACAGAATGTGCTTTTCTGGAATAATTAGGAAAATGGATCATATGCAAACTACAAAGAGCATCTTGATAAATTCAAAGGAAAAGAGATGTTCTTAGGGCTCATTCTTTGATCAGTATCCATTAAGATCAGAAATAAATAGCAGAAGGTAATAAAAAGAAATTTTACTGTTTAGAAGTTAAAACACTTTATATTATTTTGTATCAAAGGAGAAATCAAAAGTCAAATGAGAAGCTACCTGGAAATCAATAGGAGGATCTATTCCAGAAGCTTCAGCCAGTGAGAGTGTCACAGTCTTTAGATACTTTATTATTTAAACACAAGGACAGTACTTATCTCTATCATGAAACGGGAAAAAGAATGTCCCAACAAACTAAGTTAGATGGAATAATAAAGAGAAAAGCTGGAATTAATGAAGTGAAAATAGAAAGACGAGCACATCGATAACTGATTCTTTGAAAAGTATAATAAAATAGATAATGGGTTTTTGTGTCTGATTAGGAAATTAAAGAATAAAATATTTAGAAGTCTGCAGGTGAGAAAGGGGGCATACCCAGAGATGCAGGGCTGGTTAAAGAAGATAGCAGAGACATATTCTTCAACTCTGTGACAAAGAATTGGAAAAACTAGAAGAAATGGATTTTTTTTTTCTTATCAAATCTTAAAGTCCAAATCCAACTCAGGAAGCAATGGATAATTTGAACAGGACAGTAGCCGTAAAGGAGATGGAAAAGTGATTAAAGATCTGCCGTTGACAACGGCAGTGGGATCATATGGAATTACAGCTGTGTTTTATGTGACTTTTAAAGAACAAATGATTTTTATCATCATTTAAACTTCCAGGAGAAGTTGCAAAGCTCCTAATTCATTCACACAATAAGGACGCATTTAATGGCAAAACCCAGGAGAGTACAAAAAAATTCTAGAGACCAACTTAATTTTGAATATAGATGCAAAATTCAGAGTACAGTAGTAGCAGATAGGACCCATCCGTGTATCTGAGGTCTCCACGAGGTCCAGGAGGGTCTTTCCAAGAGAACTCAGGACCTCTGAGGGAGCTTGGGGTCACGGAGAGACAGGTGAGTTGCTCTCAGGAACAGGCAGTAGCCTGGTGCCCTGGGCTTCTGCTCCAGTAAGGGACAGTCATGCTGCGTCCTTCAGGGGTGCTGGCAGAGCCACGCTGTGGAAGGGTCTGCCTGGAGGTGCCCCTCAGGGGCGTCATTCACGCTGAGGGACAAGTTTGCTAGCGTGGGCCTTAGAATCAGAGCGGGTCTCTTTTTGATTGGACATTTGGACACGCGGCGTTTGTTTCATGTTGCCCAGAAGCCCGCGTGTGAATCTTGGCAAACATGAGCATCATGATCACATAAACCTGCATGACGGAATACGTTGATGAAAATACTGAGTTTCAATAGCAGCTCAGTGTTGTCAAGCACATGATTTAGGTTCTCAGGATTCTCAGCGAGCGAGAGCAGGGTTCCTGCCCCCTCCCTCTAGGGCTGGGAGCTGGCACAGAGGTCGCGCAGCCTTTGGTTGGGGTTCCTGTGTCAGCTCCCTGGCCCTGGGTTCACTACTGCTCAGTGCCCCTCGCTGGCGGTTCCCTCCTCTCCTCCGGTGCCGCTGTCTGCGCTGAACACCGTCTCTTCCTTTCTGTGACCCTGCATACCTCTGTCCTTTCCTGTGGCGAGGGGGCAGTCTCTGTCATCCCTCCCTGCAGTCAGCCTGGGGACGCCCGGGTTTGGGGGTTTGGGAGGGCGTGAAGCTGAGCGCACAGGGAGAACCCGCGGTGTCTCCCCTGTGTGTGGCTGGCAGGGGGGCTGGCAGGAGACTGCGCATCAGGGAATGACTGGAGCCCCCCAGGAAGTCGGTCACCAGTCTGCTGCCCAGTGCGAGGGCTATTCCGTGAAGGTGGGTAGGGCCAGGAGGAGTGACCAGGATAGAGCAGTTTCCTGCTGCTTGGCCGTGGCCTCAGAAACGTTTCTCCCGGAGGAGGAGGAAAGCCTGCCAGCGTGTGGATTTGTGGGCGAGGTCCAGCCCTGCCCTGCAATACCATGGGCATGTGTCCTGGACGGGTCAGGTCTGGAGTGAAGGAGGTATTAGGGCCTGGGGAAGGAAAGCCACCAAAGAAATGGTGTTTGTGTGTGAGACACTGGAGCCACAGTGTGGCTCAGGACCGCAGTTCTGGTATGTGGGCACTGAGGTACAGTACACTGTTTTTTTTTTTAAATCCTACCTATGTTTTTTGGCCATCACCAGAGATTCCATTGACTTCCTTTGTCTTACAAGTCTGCATCTTGCCACGGATATCCGTTAGACATCCTTGTAGAACAGGAAATTGATTTAAAAATTAGCAAAAGTCATAAACAAAGAGGAAGAGGATGTGTATGCACAGGCCAGCTCTTCATGATTTTGAAAGACTGTCCAGGTGTAGGTACCCACGGCCTCTTTTCCATGAACGTAGTACGATCCGCAACAGAGTTTAAATTCTACCGTAGCTGCGCTCTGCTTCTTAGAAATGTTGTGACAGCCTTCTGCTCGCGTGGCTCAGGGTTGTGCTCAGAAACTCAAACACATTTCGATGTTTTCCAAGCAAAGCATAATTTAAGAGAAGGCTACCAAAAATATCACGTATATGATACGTATATTGAAAAGGATTGGATACTTCCCACATTCTGCTCTCATTAATACTGATGATGGACAGCTGAGTGTTCGTGTCAGTCCCCGTCTTCAGCCACTTGTCCCAAGCCGCTGAGGTTAATATTATTATTATTACTAGTGACAAGACTGCGGGTACTTTGTGCTGGGTGTCATAGAGCATTTTTGGGTCGAGGCCTGGGAGTAGGTGAGCATGGGCATTTTTTGGTGGCCGCGCAGGAGTGGTGGTGTGTGGCTGACGCACTTTGTCCATGTTTACGTCTCTTCCTTGGGAAGTACCTCGACTTGTCTCTAGTGCCTACATTGGTAGCTTTCTGCTTCCTTCTGCCTTCTGCACCTGCCAGGCTGTTGGAGGTACCTGACACCTGTTGTCTACCCGCGCCCTCTGAGTTGGTGTGCTGTTGGGGTGCACCTTCCACTCTCTTCTCAAAGAGGCCAGAACGTGTGCAAGGACCAGGGAGAAACTCTCTCATCTCCAAAGTACCCTGGGGACACATGCCCCTCTGTGCCACACCCACAGGGTTCTTACTCCCACCTTCTTGGCTTATTCGTAGACTGAAATAGCTAAAGGGGGTGACAGTTTTCTGGTCTGGAGACAGAAATGTGTGAAGAGAGGACGGGATTTGACCTATTAGGGCCATTGCGCACCGACCTCGGGGCTCAGAAAGTTCAAGAAGCCCTTTTAGACACGCCTGTTGGCCCCTGTTCCCTATGGTTTTAGACACCTGGCCCACCTTCACTACCTTAGAGCCTGTGTTTTCCTTTCTTTGCAGAGTCTTCGCGTGACCTCTGCAGACATGCCTGTGAGGTGGGGAGCTGCGAGGGCAAGCTGAACATGCCTGCAGGACTTTGGTTTCTGTCGCTACTGGTCCAGCCTCTTCGCCTCCCTGCGGGTCCAGCTGAAATGAGATTCCGAGGGACACCTTAGTGCAAGCTGTTCCCCAGCCGGGAGCTCAGAACAGGAGCGAATGCCGGCAGGATGGCCAGCCAGCCCCCCGAAGACACCGTGGAGTCGCAGGGCTCCGACGAGCTCGAGTGCAAGATCTGCTACAGCCGGTACAACCTGAGGCAGAGGAAGCCCAAAGTGCTGGGCTGCTGTCACCGGGTCTGTGCCAAATGCCTCTACAAGATCATAGACTTTGGGGACTCCCCGCAAGGCGTCATCGTCTGCCCTTTCTGCAGGTTCGAGACGTGCCTGCCCGATGACGAGGTCAGCAGCCTGCCTGACGACAACAACATCCTCGTCAACTTGACTTGTGGCGGCAAAGGGAAGAAGTGCCTGCCGGAGAACCCCACCGAGCTGCTGCTGACCCCCAAGAGGCTGGCCTCCCTGGTCAGCCCTTCCCACACGCCTTCCAACTGCCTGGTGATCACCATCATGGAGGTGCAGAGGGAAAGCGCCACGTCCCTGAGCGCCAGCCCCGTGGTGGAATTCTACAGGCCAGCGAGTTTCGACTCTGTCACCACCGTGTCCCACAACTGGACTGTGTGGAACTGCACGTCCCTGCTGTTTCAGACGTCCATCCGGGTGTTGGTGTGGTTGCTGGGCTTGCTCTACTTCAGCTCCCTGCCCTTAGGGATCTACTTACTGGTGTCCAAGAAAGTCACCCTTGGGGTCGTCTTTGTCAGCCTGGTCCCTTCGAGCCTTGTCATCCTCATGGTGTACGGCTTTTGCCAGTGCGTTTGTCACGAGTTTCTGGACTGTATGTCACTTCCCTCGTAATCCATAGGCAGGGCCAGCAGTGTCCACACGCTGCCGTGGGGGTCGGGCACTTCATGGTGTGTTTTCTTTCATGTTCTTTAAGGTTTCTGTTCACGGCTGGAACAGCCTGGGTCATAGGTCTGTGGCCTGTTCCCATCCAGGTGTTGACTGGTGGTTTCTCCCGTGTGCTGCGGTTGTCCATTTCTAGTGGGCGTTAGCCAGGCAGCTGTGTAAGCCCGGCCCTTGTGGAGCCCTGAGGGATCCCCAGCCCTTCCAGACACACCCCAGGGTGAGGTGTGCTGGGCTGCAAGAGGTCCTGGTGGCCTGGTTCCTCCTGTCACAGTCACAGATGCTTTGCCGAGGTGTGTGGACACGGGGAGTAGCTTTGAGACACATGTGCCCAGTGTGTGCCCCTCCTCCCTGCTCCCAGTGAATTGAGGTGCTTTCTGTGTTCACGTGGTGTCACCCCAGGTCTGTTGCTCCCCTGAGAGGCCCCTCCCTCTGCATTGCCTTCCAGGAGGACACTCCATCTTACTCCCGTGGGTGGCTGGACCGAATGCCTGTTCTGCTGCTTTCTAAAGAGAATGCAGGGCATTGGGGACTCCACCAGAGCAGCCTGCCTGGCAGAGGTGGCATCTGCCCGTGACAGCACTGTCCCCATGTTGGCTTTCCTCTCTCCCCAGACTTCTCAGAGAGCAGCTCCTGCTGGTGGACGCCTTCTTCCCAGAACACCTTGGTGTTGTCGGGCTCTGGCCACACTGATGAGTCGGCCACCCCTCCCCTGAGCAGGTTTCCGTTTCACTTGTTCTCTTTGGTTTTGAAGATGTTCTTTTCTTCCCATTGTTTAAAAAGTCTGATTAGGACTTGTTGAGCTCAATCCCGGAACAATTTGGGGTGAATTTTGGCAACGAAAACCCGGAAGCAGTTAGGGAGATGCCTTCGCTCACAGTGTGAAGCGCTAGCCCAAGATCCGCTGTGCTGTGCCGAGTGGTGCTGTATACAGTGGCTCGGGGGTAGGTACAGTGCTGTGCCTGAAGTCTGGGCCACGCAGTGGACAGAGACAGGCCGAGCTGGTGGCCTCGTGGAAAGACCCTCAGGGTAAAGTGGAAGCCAGGGGCAGCTGAACCTGGGCCCCTGCTGTGACCAGTCAGTCTTGGAACAGATTCAAGTTCTACGTTAATTTCAGATAGAAGCGGAAGCCCTGCGACTTGAGTCTGAACTTCTGACGGTGTCGGGGAAGTGAATGGACACAGTGGCGAGAAGAAACGGTCCAGCAGGCTTCAGGGTCGGGGGATAGAATGTTCACAGAAACTAGGCAAAAATAAATAAAGGAACTTTTTAGTGTCTTAAACCATTATCTATGATTAACATTAAAACAATTGCAACTCTTAGAAAAGGGCTTTACTAAGGCGACTTTAACTTGTCTATGGTGAAATATTTGTTGCGTGAAATAGTTACAGAGGGCCGTTTCCAATCTCCTTACTCCTTATTGAGGAAAAAGGGATACTTACCTAGAATAGCAGTCTGGTTTTCATTAAATAACTATTAACTTTAAGAACCTGTGCGCCCGAGGTAGGTAGGATGAGAAAGCCTATGTGGATGTGGCTCAATGAATTTAAGCCCCAACGTACAACTAACTACACTGATTCCAAAAAACCTAGCTTAGGTCGCATTGTGAATGCAGTTTCCAGGAATCCATTTGTACTTTGAGTAAAATAATGTTTAAGAGATGTTTTGTGGTTTGGATTTATATATTTATAAGGTTTTTAAGAAACACTCATTTTGTCTGAAGTGTAACTGAGAAAATGGGTGAGTTACGCGATGAGCTTTCCCGACAGTGCTGGAGGTGGGACTGCGCGCTTCGCTTATTTGTATGACGTCTGCAGTGCTGAAGTCGTGTCTGTGCCTCGTGGCCATCTCCTCCCTTGGTTTCCAGTAAGCTATTTGGTTTAAAGAGTTTTAAATGTACAACAACAACAACAAGCTCTTCGTGCTGTTGAATGGAGAAAGAGCAATGCTTTCTATTTTATTCACTGTGATGTCTTGTTTGTCTATTAAATTGTTATTATTTCAAACTGGAAGTTTGATTCCTGTGACTTGTGGCTGAGCTTCAGTTATGACTTTGGGCCCCTGTTAACTTTAGATAACCACAGACTGAACCTTCAGAAACACTGGGAAGCGGAGGCCTTTCCCAGGCACATGGAGATTCCAGAACTTCAGTAAGGCTGACCCCACCCACTGCACCTCTAAGAGGAGAGAAATCTAGGGAAGAGGGAATATCAATATTGTCTTTGATAAGCAGACTTTTCAGTTTTAATTTGTTTGATTTGCTTTCCAGAGGGAATCCAGTTTTGTTGTTGAATGGCTTACCTTTTGTGGTCTGGGCAAATTTTAAAAGTTGCCTGGTACCTACCTATGACCATTGTTAGGCAAAGTGGAAATAACTGGAGAATTTGTGGCAGTTCTGTGTTTGTGACAGTGAATGGACACAGTGTGTTAACCAAGAATATTGGTTTCGGGCTGGGGTCGTAGCTCAGTGATAGAATGCTCGCCTCGCACGTAGGAGGCACTGGGTTCTATCCTCAGAACCACGTAAAAATAAAATAAACCTATTGTGTCCATCTACAACTAAAAAAAAATTTTTTTTAATTTTTTTTTGAGAGAGAGAGAATTTTTTTAATATTTATTTTTTAGTTTTCGATGGACACAACATCTTTATTTTATTTTTGCTGAGGATCGAACCCAGCGCCCCTCACATGCCAGGCGAGTGTGCTACCGCTTGAGCCACATCCCCAGCCCAACAACTAAAAAAATATTAAAAGAAGAAGAAGAATGGTTTAATTCACTTCTGAAATCTTTACATAAGCAAAGCGGCTACCTGTGTGGTCCTCACTCATTCATTGGCCAACGCAGGCCTAGTTGCTGAGACCCACAAGGGCGGTTCAGCACTTGCTGGGCTTCAGAGACACCCTGAAGATATTTCTCAGCATGTCAGCCTGGTAGACCAGAAGCCCCAGGGACGCTGGGATGGGTAGGCCAGCTGACAGAGTGAACCCTGGGCCAGGCGAGGGGCAGGTGAACCTGGCAGAGAGCAAACTCATCCGACCTGGGTTAGCATTTTTGGAGCCACGCTGTCCTTGCAAACTCTTCCAGGTAAACACTTGCCTTGATTCTTTTGAAACACCACAGAAACACCTCCTGTTATTCCAGAGCTTTCCTCAAAACCAGCGGCAGTCTGGTTACAGATAAGACCCTAAAAGAGGTCACCCATTTGCTCTTGAAGCTTGAAATTGTATGCTTCCCCCCACATCTTTGCCCCTTTGATAGATCTTCATTTCTTCTTGCTTCAGTACCCTTTATGAATTTTTATTCCTATAGGATTCGTATTGGGTATTTCCTTTTAAGTTTACTTTTGTGTAAAAGAGGTTTTAAAAAATGCAGGTAAATTAAATGTTGAGATAGGAGTAGATTCCAAGTGAGCCCTGGAGGCAAGGCTGATTCAGCCCAGTTCTTGCATAGTTTCTATCTGTGGTATAATCCAAACCTAAGTCTCAGTGTACAGATATTTATGGTTCTGACATGAAGGTGCTTTCAGTTTAGAGAAAAAGAGAAATCAGAAATTAAAATACGTCCTGAATACCGTGTTACTAAGTTGGGATGTGTGCTAATGTATTTTTAAAAGTGGCTGAACCTTTACTTAATTAAAACATTCAATTAACTGAAACAGTTACTCTATCAGCATTTTAATTAATCAGGAGTTTATTAGATTTGCAACATATTAACCTTTTAAATTGAGATGTTGAAGGCAGGTTGCTTTAGATCTTGGTTATCCCAAGTGCACCTCCGCACCCAGTCATCTCAGGTGAGAGGTCTGGCCTGGAGACCCAGTTGCTGGCTTGGCAGTAAACAGTAACCCAGGGTGAGTGGGTAGAGGTGTGGACTGGGAAGGAGAGTCTAGGGCTCGGCTCTCCAGGGTTCTCCCTTGGAATGCTCAGGGGAGGAGCTGGCAAGGGAGCTGCTGGGAGGGGCCAGGAGGAAGGAGGTGGAATGAGATTGTTAGGTGAACACAGATGGAAACAGTCGTCAGATTGGTTCATGGAAAAACAAAAAAAGGTTCTTCAAGCTTTTTGCATGAGGATTTGCAACTCTATGGAATAGAGAAGAGTGTAATTATCGCTGGTTCACTTAAAACTCTCAGTTAACCTTTTGCTATAATTGGCATTTCTCTCTTAATCCCCTTTGTCCCTTGTCCCAGATGTGGAACAGATATACCTCTAACAGTAACTTTGAAATAATGGTGTTTTTCAAAGTCCATTCTTGGAGAAAAGGAAGAAGTGAATGATAGGAACACATGAAAGTACATTTAAAGGAGACAGAAGCTCTGGATGATGATTTCCAGCCCATTTTAATACACTGGTGTCAATTTCATTACAACAGTTGCAAATCTGAGAACTCTGACTTAATGGGTTAGGTAAACACATGCTGCACAGTTCCAAACTTGACACTTAGTGCTTGTCAGCATGATCCTGGTTTGGTGTGCCGGGCCAGGGCTCTCTTGTGAGATACTGTGGACTAAGTTCAGATGATTCTGAGAACTGGTCGAAGGTTAAATTCCTTCTCCAAGTTTAGAGGGAGTTGAGCTTTTTATTGTTCTTTATCTCTGGATAAGAAAGCTTATAACAGAATTTTAAAATGAATTTTAATAACATTTTAAGTACGAAATGTTATTTTTAATGCTAAATAACATCATTAGTCAATAAATGAACATCTGTTTTGGATATGCATTGAGCCAAACCTCCCACACTCTTCCTTCCCCCTATCTATTTTCTCTGACTTCTCCTCCTTCTCCTCCTTCTCCCCCTGTGCCACCTCCTTTTCCTCCTGCTCCTCTTCTTTCTTCTTCTTCACCAGGGATTGATCCCGGGGCACTTAAACACTGAGCCACATCTCCAGACCATATCATATATATATATATAATTTTTTTTTTTGGAGACAGGGTCTTGCTAAGTTGCTTAAGGTCT